TTTCCTTAAGTATGGCGTAGTTATACAGATAATTCGGTTTCTACGAAAAACTGCGCGGTCGTGAAAATTCTTATAAAAGTTATAAAAGTTACACTCTGCTTTCCTCACGTGCGTAATTCAGTTGCAATGTTGCGTGTAACTTTAACGTTAAGTGCACAAAATACATTTAATGTTGGGACCAATGTTTCGACTCGATCTTTTTTTTGGAGCATCGATCTTCTTAGGCATTTTGACGATCATTAAGTTTAATGATGCGGCTATTTATCTTCGCCGTCGGAGCGGCAAACGTCGCGATTAATGCCTGCAATAAAGTGCGCTTATTATATGATTAACATCAGGATTATTTTGACCATTTGGAAAACTAGGATTCGCATTAAGGAGCAATGATGAAAATAATAAACTGTCACTTGCACAGAATTTTATTATTTAATAGAATTTTAAGTAACATCATTATAATTGTGGCAAAGTAAACGCAATCGAAATGAAATTTTTGGTAATATAAGTATATTATTCATGAGAATAATTGCTGAACATCCTTCCGTATAATTTCAGTATGTCGCCGTTTTTCCTTTGTTTTTATTTTCAACCAAGTATAGTGTGCTGTGTCTCGCCTCGTTCCTCAGATCTGCTTACGTGATGTTTTTAAGAAGATAATTATTTCTTTAATAATGATACCATGCACAGATATCTATCTGTAAAATTTTTTTGTGTACTTATCGTTAACCGGGTTTTGTGAGTCTATATAAAAAAAAAAAAACAATAGTAATATTACTATATTTAAATGAATACGGATGTGTTTTGTACATAGCAAGTATCCGAGCAAAAATGTATCTAGTAGAGCAAATTTCAAAACTAGTAGCTAGATAGTAATGACTAGATAATTTTTCTAGCCAGTCACTAGATCGTGACTGGCAAAATATTCCTACTCAGTCTTTTGAATGTCAGAACTATCTAATAACTATACCAGTTACATAGATAGTGGCTAGATGAAAAAGATTACACAGTAACGAGATAGAAAATCATCGGTAAATCCTGAATAGAAATTGGATATCAGAACTGTCTAGTACTTATACCAATTACAAGTACTTGTACCAGTACTTATACCAGTTACAAGTTATTTTTTTGTGTCTAGCTACTAGATAATTTTTCTGGTATAGCCACTAGGAGAAGTAAGCGTTACATTCCTAACTAGTAGCGATGTAAGACCCAACTTCTCTGTATCATTACTAGACAATCACTGGATTCAATTTCTGCTCGGGTATATGTATTATGAATGCTTTTAACAATTTAGGCAATATTTTACAAGAATTATATTTATATATAATTCATAAAACGCAATATAAGGTTTTCATAAGGGTGTAAAACACTCTGGCGGACAAAAATAAGGATCAATTTCAGGATTATTATTTCAGGATTTATTTTTGACAAACTAGTAGGTCAAACAGGTTCATTTTATATATCATATTTAAGTACATATATCATAGTTAAGTACATGTTTAGATACATTTAGAGTATTTTTGGTATTAAAAAATATTAATAAATATAAACAGTATATGAGGGCCATCTCGCAGAGCCCGTCGCGCGCGAACTCGAAAATGGTACAGGTAATTGCTCGTGTACGGCATGTCTGCAATCAAACTCAAAATGAGTATTAAACTTCCACTTATTCTCTACAAATTGACTTGTGAAAATTTTGAAAAACTTAAAAAGTGTGTAAATTATAATATTTTGAAGAAAACGTGTAATTTTCGACCGAAAACACGGTTTTTTTATTGTTATTAACAAATAGTAAACAGGTGGAAAAAAATTCTACGTTAACTTGTCAATTCTGCTATTATATTGATGTCAACCAAACGTGAAGACAGCCAGAATAATAGTACTTTTGAAATCGCTTGCATCGTTTGAGAAAAAGTCGTTTCGAGATAAACGCGTTTAAAGTTTCAATAATTATTTTCTACGAAATAAAGTGATAAATATTTTATCTTACTATTATTCAGGTATTCCTGCACCATATTGTAGTTCTTCTGCAGTGGCTAAAATATCCTCCGCAGCCAATCTTCCAAGTCTGCGAACTGATCTAGCTTCTCGCGTGTTGTATTGCGCTCGACGAGTGGCAATTGTTTATCCACAAACATGCACTACTGATATGCGCTTTGTCGTCGATTTTTTTATTTAATTCTTGCATAATATCAATCTATGCCATTGCTACTTCGTTGAATGTACTGCAAGCAATATGTGCTGTTATTTCGACGACCTGAAGTCGGAGGATATTTTTGGCGTAACTTTCTATATTATATATTTATAAAAAATGGACAATACAACATATAGTGATTATACAATGCGAAAGACAGAGAAAGTATCTACGATAGATATATATCTGGAAGAAAGAATGCACAACAGGTATATATTTCGGAAATATTGAGCGACGTCTATTGAGCAACCAGAACCAAAAACCAGCGAAAACTTGAACGGCTATAACTTCGTCAATTTTTGTAAATTTCCAATCGTTCAAGGCTTAAAATATACGTAAAGGATAACACTTTTAAAATATGTAATAAAAAAAGATTTTTGAAATTTTCAAAGTGTATTATTTTAAAAATTTTAGGTAAAAATTTAAGAAAACGTATATAAGCGACAGTTCTGAACACGAAGTAAGCATCAATCGTATAATAATCAGTACTGCACTGAGGGAAAAATGTATGATACTTGAAATTATAATGGTATAATAAAAAGATTATAAATAGTTAGGAATATTATTTTTATAGTAAATTTCAGCATAATGTTTCTAATATTTACAATATAAGCATAGTATAACTGACCCATGTAAAACTTTTAACAAGAATTATAATCATTTGAAATAAAAAATAATAATCATTTGAAATAAAAAATAATAAAAATTATAATCATTTGAAATAAAAAATATAGTAAGGTTGCAAATATTGAATGGTAAGAGAAATTAACTATTTTATATAGTCAATGTAATTGGAATGTTTGGAAAATATAGGTACATGTAACTATATTCCCAAAGAATGCTTTACCTTATACATAAAGTAATAAAATGGTGACTATAAATCTGTTGTAATTCTGCTATATCTTTATGTTTAGATGAACTACAAATATATCTTTGAGGTCAAAACGAACTATAAAATATAGTGAGATTATGGTTATTCTATCTATTTTTTTTCTCAGGGTGTAGTAAACACATCAGTTTAACGAAAAGCAGCAAGATGAAACCGTCAAATCTCATGTTGGCTTTCTTGGTAGTTTTTATGATGGTAATTATGTATAATTCGGTAGCAGCAAAACCTGATGCCGATGCTGAAACCGAAACGGCTGCCGAAGTTCTTGTCAACGGCATTGCCACTGGCAATCCCGATGCTGTAGGGATCTTGGTATAACTCACAGCAATGTTACAACACATAGCAATGTTAATCACAATGTTAATCGCATATTCGCGGTCAAATTGACTGTAAATCTGTATTCGCATATTTTAATTACGCGTGATCTAAATTAATAATTGCAATTATATTACATAAAACATTTATCGTGTTACTTAAGATATGTCAAACTAAATATACTTCCCTTGAAATATACATAAATCGCGTTAAATGTGTATTAAATATATACAACGTTTTATAGACTTAATATATACAATACTATACATAATTTCTGAAATATTTTAATATGATTTCTGTGTTTCTTTTTTATACATTATTATGCAGTTGGGGAAGCTGTGAATATATAGGCAATAATTTTAAGCGGCAATAATTTTTCAGCTTATGAATAAAATCGTATACGTACAATGTTGTGATCCCGTAGAAGTAAAACCTTCAAGACTTTCATGATAGGCTTGCAGACAAGCAAATAACGAAGTAGGTACTTTTCTTCGTGAAAGTGTCATACCAGAATTATACTAATACTAGATCCGTATTGGCATCTGGTATTATGCCAGTAACGTTTACCATAAATCGGTACTGGGCCACTTTGATGCCAATAGTAAATTCCTACTTGGGTTGCTACGGTTAGTATCTGCTGTAAACTGGTCCTTTTACTGCGCAAGTATTACCTTGATAATTTTTGTATTTAAAAACCGCATTAGGAGGTAACGATAATAAAAGTTTGTGTTTGCAGAAAATTTTATTCTTTAATAGAATATCAATTTAAACAATATTGTCGTAAACAGAAAGAAAATTTTGACAGAGTAAAGCATTATTCGTGTCCTTTCGTGTACTTTCGCCGATGCGGTTATTTTATCTGTCTTCTTTAGAGTTTCTTTAGAGAACTTGCCCCAATACCATGCTGAGCTACAAATGAAATTGTTCCTTCAATAATAGTATCAACCATACTTATCTATTTACATATTATTTCTATATACTCACGTCTTTCAAAATTTCATCCTTGATGATCAAAAATGAAACACAGAAACCATATTAATATATTTCAGAAATTATGTATAGTATTGTATATATTAAGTCTCTAAAACGTCTCTAAAATGTTGTATATATTAAGTATGCGTTTAACGCGATTTATGTATATTTCAAGAAAAGTATATTTAGTTTGATATATCTTAAGTAACACGATAAATGTATTTTATATAATATAATTGCAATTATTAATTTAGATCACTCGTAATTAAAATATGCTAATACAGATTTACAGTCAATTTGACCGCGAATATACGATTAACATTGTGATTAACATTGCTATGTGAGTTATACATACCAAAATCCCAGCTACAGCATCGGCATCGCCAGTCGCAATGGCGTTGGCAAGAGCTTCGGCTTCGGCATCGGCATCAGGTTTTGCTGCCGCTTCCACCGAATTGTACATGAGCGCCATCATAAAAACTACCAAGAAAGCCAACGTGAGACCCGACGGTTTCATCTTGCTGCTTTTCGTAAAACTGATGTGTTTACTACAGAATTGATTACTGTACGATTGATGCTTACTCAGTGTTCAACCGTTGCTTATATACGTTTCCTTGAATTATTGCAAGAAGCAGTTTCTAGGATTTTACCACAATTATATTTTTTTATGGAAGAGATAGAGTGTGTATGTTCCTGCCTTCGTATAATAAACATGTTAATATAGCATTTGATATCATATATGATATCAAATTGATATATTGATATTATTATCAGATATCAATATTCGCAAACGTGTATTTATAAAATTTCGTGGGCTAGTCGTGATCAAGCATATCAGCATAAAATGGGCCGTGAGTTTCTCCCAGCGTGTTTCACGCATATTTTCATTGTAGATAAAATTTTCTAAGTGCGTCGTCGTGATTCTCTAAAGTTACAGCCAATTGAAGCCAAGGTGTCGTGATATTGTCTTAGCGAGTGTCATGCATTTTTCCTGTTATATATAAAATTTTTTATATGCGTTGTCGTGACTTCTCGAAGTTACAGACCGAGTGTTTTCCGGAATAAATATGTGCATCAACAAAAACGAGTTAGAAAGGAGAGTATAACTTTTACAAGAAGTTTTGTGACCGCTCGTAGATCTCTTTTATTAACAGTATCTTTTATATTTATATTTGCTTATATATTTTTTTTTCGTAGAAACCGAAAATATATATTATCACACGGAAAAAAAGGTTTGGTTGAACCAAATATCTGGTCAAATATGATCGACCTAAAAATTCCGATTGAAGTAACCCGAATTTGTTTAAGTCAAAAAAAAAACCTTGTTAACTTAAATAGAATTCAGGTTACTTCAGTCGGAATTTCTGAATTAATCATATTCAACCAGATATTTGGTCTATTCAACCAAACTTTTTTTTCCATACAGTATAACAACGCCAGACTTAAGAAAATATATACGAGGGTGGTCTGAAAAGTTTCCGACCTAACAAAGATACAAGTCATTTTTTCTGAAAATTGTTTTTTATTTTTCAACATAGTCTCCTTGTA